GAGCCCACAGCTGCAAAGGCGCAGGAAGCACACGCAGACACCCAGGATGCCCCTCAGCACCCCAAAAAGCAGCGCATACCTGATCACAGTTCCTCTGAGACTGCAGGTGTGTCTGAAGGCGGCGCAGCAGAGGGACACCGTTGCGGGATTGCCTCTTCAGAGTCCAGTAGCTGTGCAGCCTCTGCATGAACTGACTCTTCCTCTGGATAGTTAGACGATTGGTAATCTTGCTGAGCCTGAAGAAGGAGGAGGAACCACAAACCCAATCAGCAAAGCAAACCTGGCCACAGTAGAAGCCCCAGTGTAGCAGTGAGGCCACCCATGAGCTCCTCAGACTGAGCACACATGTTTGTTTAGCAGAAATCCCCGAAAGGCCAAGGAACAAGGGGCAGCAGCACACCAGCGACAGCTACGCTAAAAAAACTTTCAGCCTTGTCTCTCTGAAAGGCCTTTTCCTTTCTTTCCTTTCCTCCTGACTGTTCCAGGTTGGGGTGCAAGGCAGGGGCACCGGCAGCTGGGCCTTTCACAGCTCCCTGCGGCCCCGAGACTGCGGCACGGCTGTCCCAAAGCTGTGATTCACCCGGCTTATTATGCTGGCAATGAGGGGCCACCCAAGACGACAAAGGCCCTATTCAAACATTACCAGACAGCTCGGCAGCCCGAGGAGTTTGTAGCATGAACAAATCTGGGAAAGCGTGAGGAGGGGTAGGCAGACGCTAGCAGAACAGAGCTTGCTGTCGGAGCTAAGGAAGGACTACCCTGAACAGTCCCAAACAAAACAAAAGGGGTTTTCCTCCTCTTTACAATGGCAAAGCCTGAAGTAACTGAGACAGCCTCTTCCACCAGTGCAGTTAAGAGATGCCCTGCTAGGTGGGACTGAAGTGTGGACCCCGTATCTCCATGTCCTGCAGGGCCAGCTCTTCACACACGGTGATCTGACCTGCATCAGCCTCAGCTGAAGGCAGACAGCATCCTCATCTGCTGTCATTGGCTATGCACAGCTTCTACAGGAAGACATTTGGCATTCTGGCAACAGCCCTTGAAGAATAATTAATCCCAACAGGAAGGCCTGGGGTGAGGTTAACAGCTTCTATCTCAGTGTGGGTTTCACCGTGAGCCTGAGGGTAGCAGAAAAAGCCTATGAACAGCTTGCCAGTGCATCCACACGTGGGAACAGAGAGGCTCGGGTTATGGAGCATACCCTGAGCGAGTGAGCCATACCATACGGTTGGCACACAAACAGCATGGCACGGAGCCATCAATCCTGCAGCACAGACTGCCCACACAAGTCCCCCAAACTGCCCACAGAGCCACAGGAGCCCTGAAGGAGCCCTGCCAGGAGGCAGTGGCCCCGTGCCGTGACAGCTGCGACTTGAGGGCCAGCAAGTACAGCTCCAGTGTGGTGTTCCAGCTGCAGTGAGGAGCACCCAGCTGGTGACTCATGGCCACAAAGGCAAATGCTGCCCTGCCCAGCTCCAGCTGTGCACCACAGGCATGCCACAAGGCTGGGAAACAGCAGGGCTGTGTGGGGCCAGCTGTGGCAAAAAGGTGGCCTCTGCTTTCATCCTGCAGCCTGCTCCAACACACAGAAGAGCTCTGGGAGCCCCCAGCTGCTTCCTGCCACCTCCGGCCAAGCTCGGTTGCTGTCATGAAGCCAGCGGCATCTATTTCCTGTACAGGCACCTCGTGGGGCTGCACATTTCACTCCTCTCTGCGGGAAAGCCAGAGGAAACCACAAACAGCCCTGGGGAAGAGCAATGTGAAAAGCATTTGTGCAAAAAGATAACGCCTGCACGCAAAGTGGGACATGAGATGGTGAGAAGGGAGAGGCTTCTCCACAGCAAGGGGAAGGCAACGAGTTGTACCTGTGGGGGGGGATGCAGGGAACAGAAACCACAGGTGCTGCAGCTCGTTTTTCTGCCAGGATCTTCCGCGCTTTCTTCATTTTGATTCTAGACTTGGCTTTTGCCTTTTTCACCTTCTCAGAGCTCCAGCTCTTTCCTTCCTCCTCCTCCTCTTCATCCTCCTCTTCCCCCTCGCTGTGGGAAAGTGCAGGAAGCCTGCGCACAGAACCTGGAGGGGTGTGGATGTCACAGTAGGCAGTTTTGCGCACACTGAAGGAGGTCCCGTTTGCTCCCGTCTCACGGACGGGCTCCATTTTCATGTAGAGTCCAGCCTGCTGGGCACAGGTGACATGGAAAGCGGTGTAACAGTTTGCCTTGTGACACTGGATGCAAGCCCCAGAGCCGCGCTGCTTGCAAATATAGCAGGTCAGCTTCCACCGCGCGGGTGGGATGTGCTCAATGCTGTCTATGGGCTCCAGGAAGACCGTGTTGGCAAAGCACACCTCTGGGATCCAGAGGGCACAGACCACGTGTGCCCAGCGCCCATCGTCCGTCTGCTTGAACGCACCGCCCTTGTTGGGGCACAGGGCGCAGTCCACAGCTCGAGAGGGTGACTGCAGGCACCTCCTGCAGAGCCACTGTCCCTCGGGGATGTAGGGAACCCCGTAGCACTCCTGGTGCACGGCCAGGTTGCACATATCACAGAAAAGGATGACATTGCTGTTCTGGCACTCCCCATCATTGCAGATGCAGCACACGGCATCCTCGTCAACCAAGGCGTTGGGGTCCCCCTTGTTGTGGCTCTCGAAGTACGACTCCTTCTCCAGCCTGTCCATCAGGTACTCAAAGATCTCCTGGGGAATGGGACTGACGCCCTCTGTCTTCCGCCGCTCGTTCATGATATCCAGCCAGATGTAATCTTCCTCGTCCATGTCATACTCCACCTCCTCATCCAGCTCCTCTGCTGACTTCTCAATGTACCTGGAAGGGGAAAGCATAGGAGGGTGAGAGTTCTGCATATTACAGCCAAAAAAAACCCCAACAAACAGGAAAGCAGCAGCAGCGCTCAGAAGCTGGAGGTGCTGCTGCACTGCTTGGGGTATCAAACAACGCAGCTGGGTGTTCAGACAAAATAACAAGCTGCAGACATTGGAGACTTGTCACTCAAGACAGGAACTTGCACAAGCCAGCAAGTAGGCACTCAGTGCTCTGGAAGCAGCAACCTTGTTCCCCAGACACAAGAGCATTGGCCCTGCTGCAAACGGAGTGCAGACAGTGCCGTGTTTTGGTAATTCTGCCTCCTGCCACCTGTGGGTAAAGCAAAGTGAACTGTGGGGAAAAGCCAGAAGGCCCTGCACCCTGCTCCATCTGTCCTGCTCCATCCAGCAATGACCAGCAGTCACAGTGCAGAACATTGAGCACTATGCAGACATCTTATGGAGAGCTCTCTTTTCCAGCAGCGTGACACAAGCCCACACTATTCCTCTGTGCCTGCAGCTTGGTGCCAGCCTCCCAGGCAGCATGGTGGCTAAGAGGGCAGAGATGGCTGTGAGAGCATCGCTTCAATGCTCAGTACTGGCTCTGCTTATTTTGCCCAATTAACAAACCACGTATGGAAAACCCATAGGGCCACAAGAACACATTAAGCCTGCAAATGCACACAGCTTAAAGCTGAACTTTGCTGCTGGAGGGCTCCTGGCTTATCCTAGAGCGTCTCCAAAACGCAGTGGGGAAGGCAGAACAACTCTCTCCTTCTCCCACGGAATGGTTGGGTTGGGAGAGCCCTTAAAGCCCACCCAGCTCAATCCCTGCTGCGGGCTGGCTGCCACACAGCAGCCTGGCCACAGGCACCTCCATGGATGGGGCACCCAGAGCTCTGGGTGACTCAGTGCCCTCCGAGAAGGGAGTTTTCCCCAACGTCCAACCTAAACGGTTTAAACCCATTCCCCCTCACCCCATCACTAGGAGACCGCAAGAAGTCGCTCCCCACGTTTGCCACGAGCTCCCCTTCAGCCCTTATAACCACACCGGCACCAGAGCGCAGGCAAGCCCCCAGGCGGCACCCGAAAGCTGCGTGGCCACGGGCCCCCATCCCGCGGGGCGGCACCGGGCGGCCGGGGACACCCCGCTACCTGTAGTAGGAGGTGGGGCGCGGCGGCGCGTCGGGCGTGTCCTGCTCCAGCTCCCGGTACACCACCTCGGGCAGCTTGGGGGCCGCGCCGGCCGAGGCGTTGTGGTGGTGGTGGTGGTTGGAGTCCTTGCGCTTCTCCTTGCTCTTCTGCTTGGCCGACTTGGGCGCGGCGGCGGCGGCGGCGGCCGCTTGGCTCTCCCCGTTCTCCTTGCTGCCGCCGTTCTCCGGCGCCTCCTCGGCGGCCTCCTCGTCCTCCGACACCACGTCCAGGTTGTCGAAGATGCTGATGCGGTGCACGCGGCCGTGCAGGTCCACCTCCACCATGCGCTGGGCCTGCGCGTAGGTCATCACCTCGCGGCCCGGAGACTGCGACGCCTCCGAGGGGTTCGGGGACTGCTTGTCGGCGGCGCCGGCGCGGCCCTGCCGGCCCTTCTTCTTGTGCTTGCGGAGCGGCGGCTGCTGCGGCGGCGGCGGGTTGTCGTGGTCATAGTGGTACAGGTGGTACTCGATGCCGCTGTAGCTCTTGTAGATCTTGCGGCAGCTGCCCACCGGGCACTCGTAGGGCGGCTTGGTGGCCCGCAGGTTGTGGCAGAACGTCTTCACGTCGAAGTCGACCCCCATGGCGCGGCCTCGGCCTCGTGCGGGCGGCGCTGGGGCGCCGAGGCCCGGCCCTGCTGCCGCCTCCCGCCGCGCTCAGCGGCCCCGCGCCCGCGCCATGGCCCGGCCCGCAACAATGGAGGAGCGCGGGGCGCCGCTGGGTAAAGCGCGCGGCGGCCTTAGCAACCGCACTTTCGCCACCGCGCCCGCGAAGCGGGCGGGGCGAGCTGCGGGCGGGCGGAGAGGGGCGGGAGGAGCGGCGGAGAGCGGAGCGAGGAGAACGGAGCGCGCTCCCCGAAGAGGAGGGGACGCGGCGCCGCACGGCGAGCGGCGAATCTGCCGACGCGAATCTCAAGGACGAGAAGCCGCCCCGCAGCGGCCCGGTGCGGTCGGAGCGCTTTATTGCGGGCGGTGACAGCGGCGCAGCCCCGCGCGCGGCGCTCCGCGAGCGGACCCGGCGGTGACGCGGCCGCGCCGCTCCCGTCACTGCGCGGCGTTGCGGCGGGGCTCGATGCCGCGGCCCCGCATGTAGGACAGCAGCTGCTCGGGGATCTCGGCCAGCACGTCCTTGGCCAGGCGCGCCATGCTCCGCACCTGGCTGCCCGCCTCGTCCACGTAGTCCCGGAACGGCACGAACTGGGGGCAGCGGGGGGCCGGGCCCCGAGCTCTGCCCCACGGCCACGGCCGCACGGCGGCCCCGTGCGGAAGCGAGGGCCCGGTGCCGCCCCGCGCCCGGCCCCGCAGCCTCACCTGCACGATGTCCCTCTCGGCGTAGCGTCCCCGCGACGACACGCGCACCTCGTCCCCGTCCAGCTCCTCCATGGCTGGGGGGCGCCGTCAGACCCTGCGTGCGGGCGGCCCCCCGGCCCCTCCCTGTCCCCAGCCCACCCCGCTCACCGTCGAACTCGGCCGGCCCCACTCCCACGATGATGATGGACATGGGCAGCGCGGAGGCCTGTGGGGCGGAGGGGCGGCAGCCGTAGGCTCGGAGCGCCCGGCGGCACTGAGGCCCTGCGCGGCGCCCGGGCCGGTGGCACGTGGCCACTCACGGTGACGATGGCCTCCTTGGTCTGCATCATGTCGGAGATGACGCCGTCGGTGATGATGAGCAGGACGTGGTACTGAGAGCCGTCGGTCACCTGGGCAGCCGTGCTGTGGGGACACGGCGTGGGATCCTTCCAGCAGCCTCCCCACATCATCCCTCACGGCGTGGCCGTGGGACGGGGACGGCCCTGCAGCGCTCACCCGGCCACCTGGTTGATGACGGGGGCGAAGTTGGTGGGCCCGTAGAGCTGCACGGTGCGCAGGCTCTGCAGGTAGGACTCGAGCACGCCCTCGATGCCGGCACAGCTGGGGTTGTCCACGTTGTTGTTCTGGGGACGGGACGGATGCTCCCATGGTGCTGGGTAGGACGCGGCCAGGCTGGCTGCTCCCGACCCCACGGGCTGCCCCACACCCGGCAACAAAATGTTCAACTCAGCCTTGCACCAGGGCGCACCAGGGGAAACTGGTGGGAGATCTTGCCATCGGGTGGCAGCTTGGCACCAAAGCCGTAGGCAGGGAAGAGTTTGTCGCTGTCGTAGTCCTGGATGATTTCCCCGACGGCCTTGAGTGCCAGGGCGTAGGCGCTCAGCTGGTAGGGGCTGGCGTAGTGCAGCGACGTGGGCTGCGACGGCAGCCCTGCAGCACAGCATCCATCAGCTCCCACCCAGTGCCACTGCCCGGGTCCCTCCCACCACTACGCTCACCGTTGGAGGCCGTGAAGTCAATGGCGACGGTGAAATTCAGCTGTGTCCTTGGAGGGAGAGTGAAGGAGGCTGCCAGCCTCAGGCACGGCGTGACCTCCGCCCACTCCCCCAGCCCCACTGCCCACCCCACAACTGCAGCCGCCATCTCGGCACCCCCAGCTGCAGTGTCACCATCACTGCCTTCCTGTCCCTGTCCCTTGGGAGCTTGGGGGCACCTGGCCCCACTCACCCGCCCCGTATGTAGTCAACGAAGGTGAACTCAGACTCGACGGAGAAGGAGAGCAGAGTCACCTGTGGGCATGGGGCATCAGAGCCGGCACCCTGCAGTGGGTGCGAGCTGCAGGAGCACCCCAGCCTCACTTACAGTGCCGGAGTTTACATATTTCTTCTTCTTGCACTTCTTCCTAGGGTTCAGCACCTGCGGGCACCAGGCAGCTCCTGCTGTGGGGCTCCCCATGCCCCCAAAGCTGCCCCACTGTGGCCCCTGCCCTACCTCATACACTGTGAACTGGCTCTGTGCACGAGACAGCTCCCGGTAGCTGGTGGCAAACTCCCCGATGAAGTCGTGGCTGCAGGAGGAGCGCAGGGGCTGCATGTGTCATGGGATGAGGAACACCCTGATGCCTCTCTGCTGCCCTTTGGGGCACAGCCTCACCTCCCATCCCGGTCCCAATCGTACACATCAATCTTCACTGTGCTGGAAGTAAAGTGGGGCTGAGGGAGCTGCTGGTATGGCCCACAGTGCATGCCCAGGGCTCAGTGTGCCATCAGTGGCACTGCATGCCCAGGGAGGGGAACAGGAAATTTGGGTCACAGTGGAGCTCTGGGGTGGGTGGGGGGAGGAGGGGAAGCTTTTCTGTAATTTGGGTTGCAAAAGGAAAAAAAAAAAAAGAACACCACTAAGAACCCAGCTTAGAGTTGCATGCTGGCTGTGGGGAAATGCTGTGTCCTACTGCTGCCCCATTGCACACACCACAGCAGTAGCCCTGTGGTGCAGAATGGGTTCACAATATATGGGGCAGCTCTGGAGGAATGTGGCCAGGACACATTTTGGGGGATACAAGATGTGTCCAGGGCTGTGGGCCGGACCAGGGGTTGCAGGATGGGGCCAAAGTGTGGGGTGGGTCAAGGCTGCCCCACAAAACCATCCTCACCGGTCGTAGTCACCGTTGCAGAGGGCACGCACGGGGATGGTGAAGGGCTGCCACACTGGGTTAAGTGTGTTCTTCACCACCTCCGTCTTGTGGCAGATGGTGAAGCTGCGGGAACAGGGCAGAGTCAGGGCATGCTGTGCAGGGACACCTGCACCCCACATCCCCACGCTCACGTGCCGTCCTCGTTGCTGCGGTAGAAGACGAGGAAGGGGTCGGATTTCCCAAAGAAGTCCTTCTTGTCCAGCTTGTTGGCACACAGCTGCATGGTGACGATGTCCTGGGGATGGGAACTGTCACCACCAGCCTGCTCCTTGCCACACACTCGGGTAGCGTGCAGATGCAGCACTCACCCTGCAGTTGCTCAGCTCCTCGGCCAGCAGCAGGATGGTCCCACACCGCTTCCCTGGGACCCCCCTGAGACAACAGCCCAGCGTGGGGACAGTGGGGACAGCACAGGGGCAGGATGCAGGGCGCTCCGCAAGGCCCGATGCTGCAGGTGTGTCCCCAGCCGTGCATAGGGACATAGGGCAGCATGGCCAGCAGGGTGTCCTGAAGCGGGGTGGGCGGCCAGGGGCACAGTGTGGGACCCCCAGCCCTGCCACAGGATGTGACTCACGTGAGGGCTCTTTCCAGACGGCCCCGTTGGGACCCGATCACCTCTCCCAGTGCCACGAATGCCTGCCCCAGGAAGTCCTGCACCCAGGAAGAGCATGCTCAATCCTTGGGGGCTCCTGTTTGCAGCCCCCTCACCCTCTCATCATCCCCAGCCTGCAGCCTTCTTTCCTCACAGGATTGCAGATGACCTGAGCTCACCTGGTGCCCTATAGGAGCCCACGTCCATAGCCCACAACCCCTCCTGCACTCCCAAGGCCACTCCGTATCCCTGAGCTCATCCTGCAGCCCTACAATCAACCCGTGCACCCACCCTGTGTCCCGGTCCCATCCTGTGCCCCTGCGCCAGCCCGCTGCCCTGGACTCATCTTGTATCCCCCCAGATGTGTCCCAGACACATTCTTCCAGAGGCACCCCGTGTGTCCTGGAGCCCTCCTTCACCCCAGGGCTACCGCACACCCACAACAGGCACCAGTTCCCCAGCATGGCAGATGCCTACCTTCTGCCAGACCCAATGTGGCATGGAGAGACAAAGAGCAGGTTGAGCCCCCTGAGGCTGGGGGTGCCTGTCCTACCGAGGAGCAGCCGCACAGGGCATGGCTTTGGGGTGTCCGGAGCACTTACCTGCTTGTAGATGGAGCAGCTCTTGGAGTCCACATTGTAGCTGGCAGTGGTAGAGCAGAGCTTTGAGCTGGCATCTGGGCACATCCCTGTCTCCACACTGAGCTTTGGGACCCCTGCTCGCCCCATTTCTGACCCCTCTGCCCATCCACACTGCAATGCTTTGTAATGTTGTGGTCTCCCACAGGTTACCCACGGGCTCGGCACCCCCCAGCCTTGTGCTCCCCATTGGTGCCAAGGCACTCACACGTCAAAGCGAAGGTTTTGCTTCTCCTCAAAGTAGTAATCGAGGACAAACTTGCGTACGAAGTCGGGGTTCAGGGTGTTGTCGATCACCTCGGTGCGCCCGAACTGCAGGGATGGTTCTGTGAGGGCAACCCCATCTCCCCACATCCCTCCCCAGCGCAGCTGCCCAGGCACTAATCCCCGATTAGCGGCAGGGAGGGATCATTAGGGTGGAAGCGGGTGGCCATATGGGCCCATTTAACCGAGCCGGGGATTAGCCAGGAGCCGGGGCATTGGGGACGGCGGGGAACTGGGAGAGGTGCAGAACTCACTTCTTTCCACTCGCTGCTCCCCGTGCCCTGCACGAAGAGGATGACCACTGTGGAGAGAGGGGCAGAGCCGTGCCACGCTGAGCCGTGCCTGCACCCAGAGGTGCCACTGCTGCCACCCACCTGGGTCGGACTTGGAGAAGGTGTCCATGTCCAGCAGGTTCCTGGGGGGACCGAGCTGCGAGTGAGCGACTGTGTGCACCCAACCTGTCGCGTGTCCCCCGTGCGTGGACCGTCGGGGGATGGCACCACGCAGGAGAGCTGCACACAGCCGTGGGGCAGGCGGGTGGCCGGGCAGGGGCGGCACGGTGGGACGGAGAGGAGCAGCGTCTCCGGCGCTGACAGTGATTGAACGTGACAGAGAACCCATTTACAGCACGAAACCTTCCCCGGTGCCGCCGGCAGCGGCTAATGGAGAGCGCAGGAGTGAGGAGAAAGCGGACACTTAGCGGGGGGGCACCGCACATCGCCCCGCGGCCGCCGCGGCGGTCGGACAGCGGGAAGCGCGCTGACAGCGGCTCCGCCGGGCCCGTCCCGCAGCGCGGGGCTCCGCACCCCTGGCCCGAGCGCGGATAGCAGCCTCTGGGCGCGGCTGAGCCCCGGAGGGGCTGCAAAGCCAGAGGTTCGGTCGCGTCCCGGAGCGAGCCCCGGTCCCTGCCCAAAGGCGCGGGTACCCACGGCCCCGCAGCCCTTCCACCTGCTGCTCTGCGGGGCTGGGAGACGGCAAGGGGAGAACGCAGCCTCCGGCCCAGCTATGCCCCACAGCCGCAGGGCAGGAGTTTGGTGCCGCGCGGTTCGCCAGCCCCGGGCAGGACGGGTGATTCGCCCCCACCTGCCCGCCGGTCCGGGGGTCTCCGGGGCGGCCCCCGCAGGGTTGCGCTCGGCCCCCTTCGGCCGCCGATCTGTGCCGGGGACACCGAGAGGCACCGCCGGTGCGCTCCCGTCCCGCGGGCACTGAGCCGGTCTCGGAGCGGGGCAGTGCCGGCACCGGGTAGCGGCGGGCACGGGGGCGCCCGAGGCGGCGAGCGGGGGTTCCCGGAGCAGAGCAGGCACGGGACTCCCCGAGCATCTCCCCACGCGTTCCGCATCCCCCCGCGCCCCGGCTCACCGGCAGGACACGGTGAGCTCCACCTTGGTGCCCGGCACGCTGCCGGCCGCCGCTTCCAGCGCTCCCGGAGCCGCCATCCCCGCGCGGGCGCCGCCGATGCTCCGCGCCGCCTCCTCCCGCACCGCCGAAGCGGGCGCGCCCGGGGGCGGGCACGGGCACGGGCACGGCGGCCCCGGCGGCGGCACCGCCCCGGGAACGGGAGCGCTCAGACTCGGGTACCGGCGCGCGGGGCCGGGGGAACGCCGTCCGGCTCGGCTCCCGCCTGGTGGGCGGGCTGTGCCCCGCTGGCCGCTCGATGCCGACTCCCGTCCCGTCGGGGCTCCCGCCCGGAGGAGCTCTCGGCCCCGGCGCGCTGCTATTTCGGTGCCGCCGCTCCCGGAGCGTGGGCCGCGCTATTTATAGCGGGCGGCTCCCCCGCCGGAGCCGCTCCCGGCTCCTCCGCGCCGCCGCCCCCCGGCTCTTCCCAGCTCGCCCGCCTCCCGCAGCCCAGGCACCACGCAGCCCAGGGGTCGGCACACGGAGGTCTTTACTGCGGGGCCGCCTCGGAGCCCCCGCCGCTCCCCAGCCCCGAGCAGGGTAATCACAAGCGGGTGCTCGGTTCCGTGCCCGCGTCCCCCCCGAGGATGGGGGTCCCGGCTCGGCCAGGGGACCCCGGTTCTCCATCCATCCGTCCTGGAGCGTGGCGGCTCTCAGAGCGTGCTGCTGCCTCTCAGTCCCACGCCCCGCACGAACTGCTCGAGGAGGCCGCCGATGGCCCCCGAGGGGCTGGGGGGCACGGCCTTCAGGCCGATGGTCCGGCTGTAGCTGGCCAGGAAGGCGGAACGCACTTCTTCCAGCCGGGACTCGCGGTCGCTCGCTGACACCAGCCTAGGAAACACAATCGGGAGGTCAGCGCTGCGGCTGCCCCACGGCCGTGCGGGGCCTGCAGTAAGGCAGCGCCAGCCCTGAAATGCCCCGGCTGTGGCACCAGCGCTGCAGCCTCCCAGCAGCTCCCCCCAGCTCTCCTCCTCCACCGCCCCCTGGCTTCTCCCCCTACCCTAGACGCATAGAAATCGCGGTCGTTGCCCAGACGGTGCTGGCTGACATCACCTCCCATGCTGGCTCTGCCCTCCTTTCCAGAAGGAGCCCGGCCACGTGTGCTGTGCTTGGACAGCCACTTCCACCTCAGCTGCAGGCAGCCCTCATTGCCCCTTTCCACACACATCAGGGAGTAGCTTTGGGGCAAAGAGCAGGGACAGGAGGCGGCGGTGCACAAGTGGGACACAGCCCCCAGTGCCTTCCCCGGATCCCACTTTCCTCTCCAGCTCAGCTCTGCCCCTGGCTCAGAGTGCAGCAGGGAGAGGACGAAACGTTCCCAACGAGGGAAGTGGCAAAAAGCAATGCGGCCATTCAGAGCCAGCAGCTCCACGTGCCATGGCTCAAACCTGTCCTCGCTGCGGCTCCCGGAGAGGAAGGCATTCCTCAAAGGTCGCCCCAAGGGCACAGCTCAAACCTCCCCATCAGAAATTCTCTTTCATCTCCCCAGCGCCTGGGCCGCTTCGAAATTGGCACAGCTCATTTGAATGGAAGCGTTCACCACCCACAGCCAACAGCTTCAGTCTGGAAATGGCAGCAAGAGGATATGGTGGGAGGCCCGTAAACAGTGAGCACTGCTGCGACAGCCCGCCCGGCCGCTGTGCAGGGTCTGGTAATGAAGGGAAGCCAGAGGGTGAAGTAAGAAAGGCGACGTTTCTAAACACATGAAAAGATGCTCGTTGGCAACCTCATTAGGATGGGGAACTTGCAAAGCTGCTAGCATGAAAAAGAAGCTGGATGAAAGCAGAGCATGCTTATATCCCATATTCAGTGATCTCAGATGGAAACTGCGGAGGTAAGGGAGTGTGTGCAGCAGTCAGGTCCTGCAGCTTTGGGCTCTCACATCTTTTATGGGTCAGCTTAACATGCAGACAGTTTTATGGAGTGGTATGCATAGAAGTGCAGGGCCACTGACAGCCCGTGTCCCTAAGTGCCACATCCTTGCCCTGCCCTGTGATGCAAAGCAGAAGTTTAATTGGAATTTAATTTCCCCAAACTCACATTGTGCTGGGCTGCAAACACTCAGGACAAAGCTACAGCAGGCTCCTGAGCAGCACTGGAGCAGGAGGCGGTGCTGGGGCAGGCTCATGCTGCATCTTTGCACTCCTTTCTCAATAGCAGCCTGGGCCTGGCCCTGCTACCCCCAGCACCCCAAGCAAAGAGCTGAATGGGGCAAAGCGTTCATGGCCTCAGCTGCACTCCCAATGGAGAGGCAGCACTGCTGTTCCCCACCCTTTAAACCTCCCAAGCAGCCAGACTGCAAACAGCAAGAGCCTCCAGATAGCTTCTGTGCCTAGCTTCTCCCTGCCACATTCCCCATTCTGACGTTACCTCCTGGCTGCTGCTCAGCAGCCAGACAGCACTGCTGGGCTGGGGGGACACAAAGCAGTCACTGCATCACACATCTGCTCCTTGGTCCCTTCTGCTTCCTTCCTGCTCCCATCCCCCAGCACTGCCCAGACACTACAGGAGCAGCACAGTGTGTCCCTGCCAAGGCAGAAAGGGGATCTGGTAGTAGAAGTGTCCCACACTCCCTGTGAATCTCACCCTGCATGGGGCTTGGATCTACTCAAGATAGCAGGCAGCTCCCAGAGGAGCCAAACCAGGCAGTGTCTCACAGCACACATTTGTTTTCATGTTGCTCTACCTCCAAAGTATATACTCAGATCTCCATTAAGAGACTGTGAGCTTTAGCGGCACGCTGCCTGTGCAGCCAGCCAGTGGCAGCCCCTGAGCTGCCATTTCAGCTGCTTGATTGAGAGCTTGCAGCCTGAAGGCACACGCCAAGGCTCTGCTCTAACAGCAATTAAAGCACAGCTCCTGCCTTTCAAGCTTCTGCAGAGGTGACTTTCTATGCAGGGAGGGCTGTGTGCCTCCCCACTGTTTGCACAGTACCACACAGCACAATGTAGGGTCTGCTGCTCTGCCTCAGCCTTATGCAGCACCTGCAAACACCACCAGACAAAGCAGGGTGACAGAATTAAAGCCCCTCTCCTGCTGCAGCAAGGACCTGAACCCAGCAGGGAGATGGAGATGAGCAAGATCCAAAAGCAAGAAATCTGGGTAAGCAGTCCTGTCCGTCAAGCTCACTTCCATGGATGCCCAAATTCACTGTCTTTAAAGAAGATAAAGAAAAGCCTTCTCCTACAGAAAGCGTCGTGCCCCCCATCACTGGATGGAAGAGATGTGGGTTTCCTTCAGAGCTCAGTGAGAGAACGTGCAGATGGAAAGCACCAGGGCAGCGAAGATGGGACAGCTTGTTACAGGCTGCCAGGCTTCTTCCAGAGCACCAGGTGATAACATTCCAGAGCCTGCAGCCAGCTGGGAGAGCCTGGGGAGATGCTGCATTGTAGACACTTACAGGCAAGTGTTAGAGAACTCATCCGGGAAGCTGCAAGGGAGAGAGGCGTCTGCGCTCAGGGTTGCCTGCTCCCGAATACTGCCACACCCTGTCACCATCTGCCAGCTGCCAAAGTCTGTGGAAACGGAAGATCCGGGCAGAGAATGGTCCGCCGATCTGGGGCAGAGAGAGAGGGAGACGGGGGCCATCAGTCAGGTCATCAGCCACACGCCTCCCGCTGCGCCGCTGCCAGGGGGACGGCCGCCAGCAGCGCCGGTGCCAGCAGTGCTGGTACTCTGGCAGCAGGGCAGCATGCAGCGCTGGCTCGGCCCCGGGCCAGGCCTTTCCTCTGAAAGCGTGAGGAGAGCCAAGCTGGTGAGGCAACCGCGCAGCACAGGTGCCCCAGGAGCCAGGCAGATCAAAGCTAGCGAGAAGCAGATGGCCATGCAGAACGGTGAGACCCTTCAGTGAGATGCAGCAGCCCCAAATCCCACACAGATGTGGAGCATCCACCTGTTGCTCATTTCAGCTGTGAGCGCATCCCAGGGCAATGGCAAAGCCTGATGGAGAGCTGTGGCTGTGACTGCCTTGCTGCTGAGGAAGATTTAGAGACCCACAGTCTGCAGAGATAGTACCACCAGCGCTCAGCAGGACTGTCCCTGTGCCTTGGGGCACCCACTCCCTGCAGCTCCATCCCCAGATTAGGAGGGCGGGTTGTGCTGGGGAGGCGCAACTTTAAGACATGAAACATAATTAGGAGAAGGCTTGCAGGATGTAACCTCCCCACCAGGAAAGCAGGGAACAAGAAAGCTGAGAAGCGAGCCTGAGGAGTCCCTCCAAAATCTCCAAGCAGTGGGGCACAATCACCTGAGTGGAACCCAGAAGTCTCAGCTTTCTGGGAGCGAGCCGTTACTGTGCTCTGCTGCACAGCAGCACGCACACTGCTGGAAGCACAGCCTGTGGCAGAGCTACTCAATTACACACTACCAAGATCTTGTGGATAATTTATCTGAGATGTGCCGGGCACAGAGCAGTGCAAGAGCTCCAGCTCTGCTGGGCCAGGTACTCGCATGCTGTCTTCACAGCTAAGAATAGCAGTGGCGCAGTGCAGCTGCTCCCCGAGAGGCCAGAAGAGCAGCCAGAGCCACAGGATCTGCCACAGCATGGAGGGCCTCGGTGAGAACAGCACAAGAGGGGGGAACGCAGGGTGAAACCTATCTGTGATCCAGATCTAAGCCTGGCATTTAATGAGCCTGATCGATATATCCAAGCTCGAGAAATACAGCCCCGAGCTGCACACAAGCTTCCCCTGGCAGTACTGGTGATCCTGCAGCTGCAGGCTGGGTAATGCCACTGTTTTCAGGTCCAGGCTCTGGAAGGGCAGCACAGGAAGAAACGGGAAGAGCAGAGTACTGACTGCCTTGTGCAGCATTTGTCCTCAGGCTGTGAGGTGAACTAAGTGAGTTCAGAGAGCAGCTGTGAGTGCCTAGCTCTGGCAGAATGCTTTCTTCCAAAAAGATGATTTTCCTAGAGCACGTAACACTGCAGTAGGAACAAGGGCATCTCCTACCTTGGAACTGGAGCTGCGGCACATACTGGTAGAGATGAGACAGGGATAACCCTCCCTGGGATACAAGGAATTCATAAAGCAAACGGAGCAGCTTTTTACTGACATCTATCCCTCTCCCTGCCTCTGGGAGATAGAGCAGAGGAAAGCAGGCACAGCACAGTGCAGTGCTGGAAGCACGGTGCAGGAAGCCAGAGAGAAGCACACCAGGACTGGAGAAATAGTGCTTCAGTGTGGAAAGAAGAGACTCTCACTGCTCTAAGTGCAGGACAGGCAGACAGGAAAAATAGGAGCAGCTTAGGTACACATGGAGCGACAAGAATTTGAGCTAAAGCAGTGAAGAGATCTATAAGCAACAGACTTAGGTACAGGAAGGGAGACAAGGACAGTGTTACCATCAGAAATGTACAAAGTTGCCCAGAGGACAGGCTTGGGTCCAAGCAGAAAGAAGGGTTTTGAAGGTGGGGAGCCTGAACAGCAGAGCAGGTGGAGATGGGCTTGGGATGGGATCTTCATATACAGATGAAGGGAGCTGAAATGGAAATCTGCAGTTCTTGCAAAAGGAGAGTGTGGTACCAGGAGGTGCCTCTGCCCCATGTGGCAAGCAAAAGAACAATATGTGATCCAGGGCACCAGGGACATCAGAAATGTCACTGTCCAGTATCATTCAATGGGTCATGTTCATCTCTGATAAAGAGGATGAACGACTGTTTTCTGCTTTGGGTACGTAGCCTCAGCTTGCAGCTGCTGGGCTGTCTTCCATGGCTGTTGGCTAGAAGCAGACCAATCTTACACATTTCCTGGAGGTGGACCAAGTCACCTCTTCAGTCTCTTCTTTGACAGGCTGATGAAAGCATTGTATACCTCCCACAAGACTGACTCGTGGCTCTGCAGCCCTCCAACCCTTCCTAGCATCCCTGGCCCTGTCAAGCAGCTGTGCAAAGTGGCAGTGCTGAAACACCACCCAAACACATCTGCTCCTTCTCAGCGCTGGCCACGCAGCAGAGAGGGGCTGGTGTGGATGTATGACACCTTCCTATGGAGCAGTGTGCTCCCACGCTCCCATCTCTCACCCATCTGCAGTGGGAAAGGGAACCCTATCCCAAAGCACAGACTTCAGAAACGGAATCCACCAGTACCAAACTGTCAGACAGCACGTGCTGCTTCTCCATTCTGCTCCAGGTAGCTAGACTTTGGAAAGTTGCATCTAACCTAATGGCACAAGAATCTATGAGTTCAAGTCAGCTGATTTGGTTTCTCTCTTCCAGACAGCAGAATAAACACCTGATTAAGTGAATAAACTGATCAACTCTGCATTGAGTCTAGGTCACTCCTCCTTGCTTAAATATCTGAGTGCAGCCAACAGAACTGCACCATGATGCACTTTTCTTCTATCTCCAACTTCTTCTCAAGGGAGGCTCCTGAGGCAGCATCACAACCAACAATCACCTTAAACAGCCTCGAGACAGCAGGGGCGAAGGCTGGGAGAGAAAGGATGGGAAGACAAAATGAGAAACCTTGTGCTTGCTGCAATGGTGGTGGAGTTTCTTAAAATCTGAGCTTGAGAACAAGACCATATCTATAGGCTAACCAGTGCAATCTAGTTAATGCCAGAGGTGAAAATCTTCCGGGTGTTCCTGCCCCTGAAGGCTTCTTGCAAAGGTTTGTTGCAGAGACCCAAAAAAGGCTTCACTGGTGCCTCAGTGCAAGCTGCTGATGCTGGGACAAAAGGCCCAGGCCCCAAGCCTGTAAGAACAACAGGTTTGTAACATATGACAGCTCTGCCAGAGGCTGATTAGCTCTAAGGACAGCACAGAAGGGTTTGGGAAGCAGCCGGACAGCTACAGCAAAGCTGACACGGTTAGCAAAGAGGAGATACAGCAAGGCTTCGAGTTGCTGTATCTGCCACAGACATCCAATGGCAGACAGAAAGAGAATGAAAGTGAGCTTCACACACCCACCTCCTCAGGTCCACGAGTGGGAAGAAACTCCCTCAAAAGTGCAAAATTAACAAAATTAGATTAGCAAAACATAGATGAGCTGCAAGCTGTTCTTTCACAGAAGGAAGGACCTTTAGCAGTCCATAAACTGGCAATTCCTAGCCTGAAATGTTTCCTTTTAATTAGGTCAGCGCTTCCCATGCAACATGCTGCACAAAATAGAGTATTTCAGAGCACATGGACACCCGCTTACCAGAGAAGAGCCAATACCGGAGGCAGAGCAGCAATCAGGAATCCTTCCATTCCTTAATACGTAAGAGAGATAAGTGCCAAGCACCCAACAGCTAGGCTCTCATCCTGCCCTGTTCTGCCCCCGCTCACCTGCCATGTTTCCACATACCTAGAGCTGTTTAGGAAGCAGCTCATTTGCCAGCATATGCTCTGTGCCTCAAATGCAAGTGTGAAGTAGGTACCGTACGCGCAGGCAGACTGTGGCAACCTGGAGTAAAGGGCAGCCCTTCCCACCTGTGCGTGGGAACAGTTGGCAGGGAGCCATGCTGACGGCCCTGCCTGGATCCCAGTCCGCTATCTGCAGGCTGTTAGTGCTGTAGCAGCCCAAGCAGCCAGCGCTGTGTGAGCACAACCGTGTTGGAGCACAGTCACGTGCCAACCAGAGTCCTGGCAAGCTGCTTTGGTGGCATCATCTTGCAATAGATCCAGAAAATGTTCTTGTAAGCAGTTCCTGTCCTGCTGCGGTTGCTGTCCCGAGTCTTACTGCTGTTGCATCGCAGATACAGCTCCGAGGGCAGGCAGATGTAAGGAGCAAAACACACAGTGCACATGCAGTCTCATCGCTACAAAAGACCCAAAGCTAAGGAACAGCAGCTTCCCTGCCCCTCCCTGTGTTCACTGCACCCTCTCCAGACCAAAGCACGTCTTGCCCTTCAGCAAGGGAGCTCTTTGTGACTGTTGACCAAAGCAGCTCCTCCATGGCTTAACTCTTCAGACTACTGTACTACAGCTTTTGTTTAATTGACTTAGCAAAAGCACATTCAACCAAAGATTATCCATCTGCTAATCCACGTTAGCAGTATGTGCACACACACTAAATCCCTGACACAGATACAGGGTTTTTCTGCAGTGTCATGGGATGCTTAGATTATTAGCGGCTTGCAAACAATGTCCTGTGTCTGCATCTAACAGTGCCCATTCACAGGCAAGGAGTTTGAGTCAATACACACTATCTGCTGTACTCAGAGCTCTCAGTTTGTAGAACAAGATGCACCTTGTCCTATTCTGTAAATCATCTGTGCTGCATCTTCACGCACGTTTGCCCTCACCAGATTGATCTTACCACTGGGATAAGCTAGAAAGGCTGCCTAGTGAGAGCCTGCCTTTCAAATCTGCCTTTGTACTGCTTTGCCTAACGAGAATAACCCGGGGACATACGGGCACCCAGGACATCTGGATGAAAAGCAGGACTCAAAGGATGCGCTGATAAGGAGGCTGCTGTCACACTCCAGCTAAGAGAGGGGCTCGGCTTCTACTGGCTCACCTGGCACGTGCAGCTCTTTCCTTTTGGACACTCCAGCTCCTTGCCCAACAGCTGCTCACATGTTGCTCATCTCTCGGCCAGCTTGCTTTCCCTTCTCATTCCCTGCTGAGCTCCCTGCCTGCCAGCACATGGACTGGGCTGTTTATGCGAACTGCCCGGAGGGTGCCTGCTGGCATTTTACAAGCAACCACTTTTCCTCTACTGCTGCTGCAGTGGTTAAGTGTTTTGTTGCTATGGCCACACAACCAGAGGATTAGAAAGTCAAGTACAGTAGTTTCTTCATCTTAAGTGGCTAGGGTGCTAACCTGCAGCAGTATTGCAGAGATAAAGGTATTTTTGGCATCATGATTAGTCTTTGTGCTACAGCCTTTCCATCCCAGTCCTGGCATTGTTCAGGCAGTGAGAGAAGTTAACTCTTCCTTCCATCACAGATATATTCTTTCTCCCCACAAAACAGGACTCTGCTTTTCCTTCAAGATGAAAAACGGTGGCTGAAGATACTGTGATAACCATTACCTGCATGAAGTTTGCTGGGCAAATTCAGACTGACACAACCAAACTGAGTGAAATCTCTCTTTGGAGATAAGCCGTACCATGCTCAGGCCACATAGATGTAAGCCACGTCATCATTCAACAAGGCAATGCACTGCTCAAGTCCTCAGCTAGCAAAGCTGCTATCAGTGTTATGTATCCTGAGGAGGCAGGCAGGGCAGAGATCAGAGTCTGGCTGATCTGGCAAGGGACTACGAGGCAAAGGAGCACAATGGTGCCAGAAGACTTGGTTTCAAAGAGCTCAGTTCAGCCGTTGCCTTGACAATTCCACCCTCTCAGCAGGGTCTCCAGGCTCATTTCCTCTAGCCTGCACAGAGAGGAGTAGAGGAAACCCAGGTGACACCAGAGACGAAAGCATACAAATGTACATCATCTCCACCCAGCAGGAGGCTAGCAGGTAAACCACCTCTGCATCAGTTGACTTTACCATTTTGGCCTCGCAATGGATTCTTCTGCTCTCTTGATTCAGATCGAGTGAGGTTCCCTCTTATCTTCTGTTTCACCCTATGCACATCTTTCCCCTGCTCAGCCCTTCATGCTGCCTTGTTCACAAAAGTCAACAGGGACCATGGATGGACTGATACACCTTTGTTGTGTTGAAAGGTTATAAAAACTTTACGTTGCAACAGAAACTAGTATAAAGGTCATAAAGGAATGCTTAGAGTGGAATCCAGAAAACATTTACCTCTTATAATGGGAATACTGCAAATTCTCTTCAGAATTATTTACTGGGAGAATGAAAAGTTATCCCCAGAGACTGTGGCCTGGGAAGTAACAAGCTTCTCCACTATGCTTGCCTGCTGCCTCGAGCCCTGGGGATGCCAGTTCTAAATACCTGACAGCAACAGGCACTGAACATCCAAAAGCTTATAAACTCCTCAACCAGACACAGCCACAGGAAAGCTAATTACTGGCTTTACTAGCTCTGAGCCCCAGGAACACAAACCCCAGGGACTGCGATCAGCCCCTTCCTGTGGTGCTGTTCTGCCTACTCTGTTTCCCTCCTTCACTCCCACAGAGCAGAGGACAGCTGAAGCATTATAAACAGCTTCCAAAGCACTGCTGCAAGCTCACTACCAGGCAGTTTATGCAGCCCAGTACTGAGCAGCCAGCTATGTCTTGGGAATGGCATGAGACTGCACGCAGCAGCAGTGGCATTGCTGTTATGAACAACAGCAGACTGCAAGACAAGCTGCTTTCTCTCCAGTATTATGCTTTCTTCTTGGAAGACTTGTTTCATCTGACAGTGAATGCAGAGGTGGGCTCCAGCAACAACTGAAAAACATCCTATTGATCTATTTCCCTGGGGAGAACAGTTAGCATCACGTATGATAACTGTCAGTGATTTTGCTCTGAAATCAAGAACCTTGGTAAACAGTCATATAAATTTTCAATGCTCTACTTGTTTGTCACTATTTTCCACGTGATGAGAATGTACTAAAATGTGGCTGCTGGCTATTATGAAGGGAATTCTAGAAAAAGACTCATCAGAAAACCTGCAGAGACAACACAAGTGTTTGATGCTGTTAACAGCAACCTCTTATCTAAGAGCCTCTTTATCCCCTGTCGGCCTAAATGCGTGGTGTTTGCTCCACAGGCTCTGTTCTTTCTTCCCTAGCTTAGCTCACCGCTCTACCTTGCCCTACTGCAGCAGCAGACTTCAGAAGGGTGCCAGATATCCTTTGTTATATGGCATGAGATTAGGCCCAGAATCACAGAATCATGGGGGTTGGAAGGGATCTCTGGAGATCATCTATTTCAACCGCAACCCAGGTCCAGTCCCCATCTCCCAGCTGCACCACAGAACACGGCCTTCCAGAAGAAACCCTCAGGGCTGTCCCAGCACTCACAGCTTGCCTCCCTGCTCATCACCAGCATCCAGAGTTTTTCACTCTGCAGTGTCAGAAACATCACTGAATGGAAAAGGGGCCTGGATAGGTGCAGAGTAAGGTCAGCTTGGCTTGAAATGTTTCCTCCCCCCCAAATACAACTATTGCAAATCCCTGTAAACGCATTTGACAGAAGGAGTGCTATGAGAGCATGCAGAATGCAGAGAAGCCAGATCTTGTGGAATTGAGGCAGGTGTAAGGACAGGCAGAACAAACACCCAGTTGTTATTGGCACAGTTCCTCACTCCTCTAGATGGGCTGAGGCAGGACTTGGTGTTAGGTGGCAAGCATTTCCCACAAGGTCAAGCTCACCAAGAACAGACCTCCTGAAACCTGTTTGTATATACAAACCCATCTGCTCCACGGTTCTCAGAACTGTACGGAGGCAGTCGAGCACTCCTTACCCAACTTTTGTTTTGCCGAGAAATGCTCTGCTTCATCCCATCTCACCTGGATCTGGGCACCTCCAGTGGGCTGCTTCCAATCCTCAGAAAGTTATCAGAATGGGTTGATGAGGAGGAGCTGGAGGACTTGACTTCAACCATCCCTGCAGAAGGCAGCCTGTCTTCAGACTGCTGTGCCCTGCTCCAGAGCACGGCCTGAGGTGATGATGCACTGCTCTTCCTCCTGCAGGACAGAAGACCTGGTTGAGAAAGCTGGCTTTCTCACGTTTTTCAAGTAGGAATCCTTTCCAGAACGGGCCAGATTTCAACCAGCAGCTACAAACTCATGTTTCCCCCGAATCTGCCCTCCTCTCAAGGAGTCACAGGTTGCACAGTGATTGGGGTACACTGAGCTCAACCCCTTTTAACCTATTCTTTTACAGATCACCATCCATGTGACCTGCAAATCAGAGACAGGAGAACACATCAGCCCACACACATACTGTGAGCACTTTGTTTAGTCTAGCTGTAAAAACACCTCAAACAAGGGGCCTCCCAGCAGGGAAAGACCATTTCATTCTGTTCTAAACTCTACAGAGTGTACCAGCTGAGGAGCCCAGCCCAGGTGGGTGTTGTTGCCTACTGATGAGGGTTGCAGGGACACAACACCAGTGTTGTTTTCCTCTCCAGATGCAGGTACATTTCAGTCTTCTCCCTGTTGGTGGGTGAGAACAGCCCACAATTTTGTTTTCTCTTCCAGCCAGTGCATTCACTCCTGTGCACAATTTGCTTTCCACTGCTGCATCAGATCTTAGCTCACATTACTGTCCAGCTACATGCTAAACAAACACACGTATTTGGAACTAATTCACATCACTGCTGCTCCACACTCAGAAGGTTCTCTTTTTTACATTAGTTTTTTTTTTTCCTGGAAAAGTCCCAAGAACGTTTCCCCTTTCAACAGCACAGTGAAATGGGCAAAGATATTGCTATGTACACAAGTAAATAGGAAAAAACTAAGGCAAATTAACACAAAGAGAAGATACAGTTCTTCCTGAAAAGGGCCCCTGAGCTTTCACTGAGATCAAGAACTGTCAGCAAGTGCAGCTAAAGACAGGCTCATCATACAGTGGGAAGCATGATATCCTCCCTTCACTTCTTGAAGTGTGTCCACCCTCAAAAATCACACCACAGACTCTCTCAAGCATTATTCATCTCACGTTATCATAGCTGCCAACATCTCCAAGCACAGCCTGCAGTCAGGTTTGTAAAGCGAAAAAACAAATGCCTCTCTGTGCAAGCAGGCCTTGAGCCCACTTTTTTCAGGACAGCACAAAGATGTACACCCCTCTTAGCTTTGTGCAGCCCAACTTCCTACTGATGACAATGTTTGTATAAGTTCTGGTTGCTCTCCAGATTACCCAGCCCCAACAGGCTGCAGCAAGACATCCATGCCTAGCTCCCTCACTAGCACTTGTGCAGGGCTCACAATGCATCACAAAATCAAACTCTGATACATACAAGATGGGATATCCTGCAGTGTGCTCTAGCCACTGTCACATCTTTTCAAGATCACACATATGCTTTGGGCTGCACGATCCAGTCCACATGAGCATTCCATAGCATAGTTCAGAGCAATGCAAACTTCCAGTTTCTTGCTTTGTAGACATGCAAATGGAAAACTCTTCTCTACTTCCTGCAGAATTTTTGCTGCGGATAGGTAGGCTCTTTGTGTTAAAGACTGTGTAATTAAAAATTGGCAAATATGGTTTGGAGGGGGGAGGAGGAGGGCAACATTACTGTCCTGTGATTCTGCAGGAAGATTTTCTCTTCCCTGCTTCAGCATTTTATAAATTGACTCACAAAATGTTTTAGAAAGGCTGCTGCCACTAGCATGGCTGTAGGCTCAGTCCCAGAGGATTTCCAGCTGCCTCAGGCACAACCCAGATTTAATTTAAAATAATTGCAATATAAAATAGCATCTTCGTATGTGCTGAGGGAGAGGAGTGAAAAATTAAACTGAGAGGGGCAACTCTACAGAAAGGTTCTGAAATCCCCAAACAGCACCAGAAACTCCACAAGCACAACATCCATGTCACAGCAGCCACCAGACACTTTCCCCTGTCCCTGCTTCCAGACAGCCACTGGTATACCCAGCAGACTCTTACAGGACCCTCTAACAGGGAACACTCATTATTTCATAGCCTCTCCCAGAAGTATCCTGAAGAAGCAATCTGTTTCCATCTCACACACTTTGTAGGTAGAGGGATTTAAGATTTGAGGGGATTCTTGGCCACATAGTCCACCTACCACTAACTGCACCATCTCCTGGATAAACTCTTTTATCAACAGATTAAATTTCATTTTAGGGCAACAAAGCTTTCTGTCGCTCTGCTGATCCCTGGGGAGGCTGCTGCCAAATGTCATTTTTCTTGTAGTTCAGAATGATCTTTTAGAAGTGATGAAATGCTTTCTGGATTATGTTGAACAGCAAAGCTATTGAAAATGAACAAAAGCTGCTGTATCTCACTGGGGACACCCTGACATGGGTGTGGAGTGGTCTCCTCTGATTACTGAATTCTTCTCCCCACTGTAGGGTACCCATGCCACAGAGAGCAGACCTGGACGGTAAGGGACTTCAGGGCTTTTTTCTACAGTGCACAGCACCTGATCTTTTTGTTCTGCATCCCACTGAGTAGTTATTTTCTCACCATGTTGCTTGGGCCTGTGCTCCTGCTGGCATCAGCTCCACTGCTTCATACGTGAAACTCCCTGCTGCTCCAGGGGAGCTTTCCATCCCCAGGGAGAAGTCGCTGCTCAGACTTGTGGTGCTGCCTCGGTCTCTCTGCTCTAGAAGAAAGCAAACAGAACTATCTGAAAACCAGCCTGGTCTCACTTACTCTCCCTCCCCTAAAGCACTACTCCTTCCATTTGCCCTGGGGGCTTCATGCTAGCAAGGTCCAAGGGAAGCATACCCATTTGTAGTCACCCTGTTGCTGACAACCCAAACCCTCAAGTGATCAACCATTACCAGCACCACAGGGCGCTGATGCTCAGCAGAAGCACTCACTGAGCATGCAGATCTCTTCCAAGGTGAAGCCAGGTGGCAAACTCTTCCTTCTGGGAAAGAAAAGACAGGGTTACTTCAGCCATGTTCCAGTGCTGCATGGAGGCTGGCCATGGCCATAGCCATAGCCAATCTCTGCTGCACACAGCTGTGGGACATCAGCTGCACAGGGGCAAAGGAGAGGGGCTGGGGCTGGTGTGCAGCACTTCCTAACAGTCCCAGCCCGCACACCCCATGCTTTGACAGGCTGGCAACAGGCTGCAGGCATCACGTGCTAATTCAGAGCCAGCAGACTTCTGCAGGGTACAGCTTGTTTCTTCTTGCATCTCCTGAACTAGGAAGAGGTTAATGCTTAGCAGCCTGTTAAAACCCAGCCACCCCACTCCCCCCAGCAGTGCTGGATGTGCTTGAGACAGTGCACACATCTTTTGGCCCATCCATGCTAAAGCAGCCATACAGTCATTAAGCAGAGAGCACATTTCAGCATGGGCAGTTTTTCAGAGCACAACGTGGCACCTCACAAGCCTCGGCCCCATTTTGCAGCCTTCAGAGTGCTGAATAAATTAAGGAAAACTGGGCCAGGACACCAGGGCTTCCATCTCCCCAAAGGAACAGCATTAACGAGCTCCTTGGCTCTGCAGCCCATGCAGCATCAAGCACAGGCTCCTTACCTCTGTGACTTCACACCAGAGAACTCCTCAGAGGTGATGTGCTTCAGAAAATTGAAGCAGAAAAAGAAAATCTAAGCAAAGAGAGAGAGAAGAGCAACTCAGGAATAGCAGTTCATCCTAGGCTCCATGCAGCCTCTTATCTTGGTGAGGAGATGCTGGCAGGAAGGAGATAGCAAGGAATCTGAAGCTACCAAACTGCCAAGGGCTGCCAACATTCCATCCTGGTCTTCTCGTACACCTGTACAACTCCAGATACACATCCCAGAACCAGCACAAGCAACTCCATGCATCTGTGATAGCACACATGCCATATGCAGCACCTAGGCAGGAAGGCAGGCATTCAGGACTAACACACAACACTACAAACTTCTAGGAGTCTTAGGACTCCCTTCTTGTTGCTGAGCAAGTTCTGGCAACCCAGGGGCCTAAACACCAATAGCTGAAGCGTGGAACCAGGAGGACTGACACCAACCAACCAAACTGTGGTCCCAAAGACGCATTCTCACAGCTTATGCATCAAGAAGAACAGGCAAGGCTCTGACCTCGCATCTCCAGCACCTCAGAAGTCCTTTTGGAGCCCATCCAAACTAGCAATGTTAGCAGGAAGCAGGCAACGAACACTGCTATCTTAAACAAGTACCCTGAAAACAGAAAGTTCAGGTACTGTCCCAGATAAGACACTCACCTCTTCTCCCTTATTGAGTCGATCGGCTAACATGTGCCTGGAAAGAGAACAAAGAAGAGAAGTCACTCACACACCAGGATCAGCAGAGGAGCACAAGTTTGATTGTGGACATAATCCTTATTGTGCCTACCCAAAGAGAAACCAGTCATAGGCCACTGTCAGATAGAGGATCTCAGATGGCTCCAGGGACACATGGATCAGTCCATCCTGTGAAGCAAATGAGAGACTGTCTTCAAGCAGCAATCCTGGAGACTGGGACTTGAGTGAGTGTGATCTACAGAAAACTCGTGGCAAAACAAGAAGCCCAGTCTGCTCTGCTCTTCCTGCAGAACGAGTCAGACACTCTCCTGGTTACTGCACACAGGACTCCAAACCCTGACAATCTTGGCAGTCTTCAGGACAGAGAATCCCCTGAGCAAGCTGCAAATACCTTGTTCTACCTGCCTGTGATACTGAGTCTGATAGCAGGACAGTGTGTGGGACTCCACATCAAAGCCAGCCCACACACTCTCTGAAGCCAAGATAATTAAAATGAACCTTTACTGCTCCCACCAGCTTTTTCTGTGTGACACTGTCACTCACCCTCTGCCACTATAAGCAGTGCAGATCAGCTGGGTACTCACAGCCCATAAGGAGAGGCGCAATAAGGAGATGAAGAGAGGAGTTCGATCCCAGCCGGATATACAGTGCACCAGGAGCCCGCTGTCATCTGGTCCAGGTGGGAGCAGAAAGGAGAGGGAAACAAATGGATGTTATAACAAGAGTAATTATTTTTCCTTATGGCAAATCTGTAGTGACAAGCTACTCTCTGTCCCCACAACCTGAGCTCAAAAACAGAGCTAAATCACCAAGTCAGAACATTTTGTCTTGAATAGAGCAGCAAACAAACTGCACAGAGCCTCCGGGGTTGTCAGCAACCCTGGCTGATGGATTGTCCTGTTTCTGACAGCTGCTCAGGACATGATGTTCATACCTAGTGACTTCATTTTGCTGCCCAGAGTATATACTCACCCAGTTACAACCCACCATCACTATCCCTATATCAGAGATACTGCTCCAACACTTTCTCTCGGTCTCATCAGCTTTTTTATTGATACAAACTGAGCAGAGGCAAACACGGGGCACCACTCCACTGCTCTCCAGAGAGAAAGTCCCAGCAGTGTGTCCCAATCTGTAGGAGAGTCTGCATTGGGCTGGGCAGGCAGAACCAGCCATGGCTCTATCTGACCAACAGTGCCGACTTTATAAAGTCACTATATGTCCACAGGGAACGGGATATCAACTTATGACAATACATCCCCTTCAAAAGGCTGGGGTGAATGCAGTGACAAAAGATGAAAGGAACTCCAAAACAGCTGCCTAATGAGACTTCAGACTGGGGAGATAAAACACAGGTGGTCCAAAAAATAATGAGTGAGAAGCAACTAGGAAAGGAGCAGCCATTTTTCTATTCAGCTTTAAATCAGTAAAAACTTTAGTTTTGAGACATCCCTCCAGTTCTGCGGAATCTTCAAGAGATCAGCAAATATCTCTTTAAGAAGGAAGCTGGAGCACTGAGATATGAGGACTATCATCCTCTTTTGAAGAGAGAAAAGTGAAGCTTTCCATGAAGGGACTCTTTGGTATTGGGAACTGACCCATAGCTGCACTATCAGCTGATCTTCTGGAGAAAGCAACTGCTCCAGCTGGACTGCTGGGAGAAAGGAGTTTGCCTTACCATCACTATTGATGATAGAGATCAGCAGCTTCAGGTAGTTCTGTGTCTGTTGTACGAGATCCCAGCTCTGTGCAGGAAGAGAAATGTTGAAGATAAATAGGAGGTTGTTCTGTGGTTCAGAGCTTGCCATACTCTTTGTTTCTCTACCAGACAAATAACTCCATTTGCTGGAGTGACAAGTTTCCCCTTGTTCCTCTAAGCACTCCCACCCAACCTCTGTAAAAGGCCCTTTGGCCTGGCAGAAATATAAAAAATAAAAAAAATTAAAAGCTATCATTACTATCTGGCTGGCACGTAGCCTGTTTGCCTGCAGCCCCAAAGCTCCAAGCAGACCGTGCTCAGAGACTGAAGCGAGCTGGTAAACACCCACGGAGTGCTGACCCAGTTCTGCCCCCACACGTGTGCACTTTACAAAATGCTCTGGCAGCCATGTTACAGCTGTGTGTGCAATGCAGGGAGAAAGACGGTGAGCAGAACAAGGTCAGCAGCCCAGCCCCACAACCTGAGCACTTCACTCTGAATTCTCTGACTGACTGCTGCAGGCTGCTCCAGGCAAGCACTGGGCTTCTGCAGTAACATCCAAGTGGCAGCAACATCACAGAGGGTCTCTGAACTCAAAGACCTCCAGTACTACAAGAAAAAAAGGTGGAGCACATAAGAAGATGCTCAAGCATACCACCCGCAAGCACTGTGCTGTGAGAAGATGCAGGGAATTTTAGCAGTCTGATCAAAGGCAGAACTCAATCAAGGAAAATGGGACGGCACGAGCAAGAAAAAGACAAGGAGAGGGACAAATGTTTCATTAGGACAGTGTTGCTGGGGTAAGGGATGTTGACCCCCAGCAACAGAACACCTTGCTGTGCGCACGCATGTTGTGCAACTACACTCGTGACTTCTACTAAGAAGAACATACCTACCCTGCTCTAAATCCTATGCAACAAAAACAGTAGGGAAATGGGACACACACGAAACCCAGGGCAGAAAACACATCCTTCTAAGGTCTTATCTGCCCAATTGGACCCAACCTTGTGATTATGCTGGAAGGAATTATTCCTTCATCTCTTTTATCCCTCTACACTGCAAGCCAGAAACTTTCCTTCATCTACCCCCTACACAACCTGAAGCTTGTGCTCAGCAGCAGCACTGCCCAACAAACACCTAGTCTGGGGATAGCAGTTCATCACACCTTGAGCACCCTGTTCTGACAGAAATCTTCACAAATACAAATGAGGAAGAGCAGTATTGAATGTTATGTCTGATTTCAGACTTCAGATTTTGCATCCTGTACAGCTTTTCTTCCCTAGATTGAAGGGTGCTTTAGAATGTGTATTTTCTTCCTGTAAATGTACTTATACATTAATCAAGTCAACTCCCCATCACCCTTGTGATTAGCTGAACAGACCAAGAACTTTAGCCTTAAGTGAAGCACCTCCAATCCTCAGATCATTTCATTTCTGCATCTATTTCTTACACCCTCTTCAATTATTAATATCCTTTTTAAAATACTGGCTGCTTAGTATTTTATTGAACAACTTTCTAGTCATAAACAAGCTGAGGTCCCATTAGTTCTGCATCAACACTGCAAGCTACTTCTGTGCGCTGTGCTTGCAGCACTCATGTATTATATTCATGCTGACAGACAAACACTGCCCCAGCACTTGGAGCTCTGCTGGTCCTGCGGTGCTTCCAGCTGCAGAGCACACATGGCCTGCTGTCTCAAAACCTGGGGGACTGGCTGGTCCACTGCTGTGTGAAATGGCATGCACAGATTGATTTAAGGAGATGTTCCCTTGTGGGAATCAGGACAAACATAAAAGAGTTAATTGCCAGCAGTGATGCTGTGGCAGCAATAAGTGATGGAGACACACTATGCTCAGTTACAATTCTCTCCTTTGCTGTAATAGGATAAATACATAGCATACTCACTAAGAAGGTGGCTAGTTATGTGGCTACTTTTCACATAAGGGAAAGTTGACCCTTATTCAGTCTCTCCATAGCCAAGAAAGTCTGCCTATTGCAGGCACGTGCTAAGATTGCTAACAAGCAATACTGCTTTTAATTTCCTGGCACATTCCTTGCCTTATCTCCCTAATGGACTGCTAGCTTACACAAGCTACGGAAAGAGATTTGATGTTAACGTTAGCTACCTTGGGACATGCCAAGCCACAGAGCTTTTGGGGAGAGGATTTCCACTGCTATTCTGAACAATCAAGTCTGCAGCCTCACTCCCACTGGGATGATATGGAGTAAACCAGATTACTGAGACGGCAACAAGACAGACTTCAGATCTTTAATGATCCTTCCTGATTAAATCTCTGACCTCCCACAGGGATGCCTACTTTCCTCACCTGGTACTCACTCCAATCAATACTGAGAGATTGGGTCACAGACGCTGGGATACTTAATGGAGCATCTACATAATCCTAGAACAAACAAACAATTAGTTAGAGAGAAAAAAAAAAAACAACAGGATTTGAAGGCAAGAAGTTCTAGGGGAAAAAAAAGAACAACCAACGCTTAAAAGCTCAGTGAAGCCCACAGCTCTCCAGTTTGTACCTGTTTCCAGTTAAATATGAGACCTTCAGCTGTATAATCCCGGTCTTTGTACTCCTTAAAAAATTCACAGCCTGCAAGACAAGAGATAACGAACAACTGTTCAGCTAACTGATATCTAACAACTGGAGGGCCCTGTGGGACTGGAAGTGCTGGCAGCCCTGGGCTCCAGAGCACTGAACCAATCAAAAGCATTGCCTGTGGGAAGTGAAGAGCAGTAATCAGTACAGTTGCCTCCCAGCAGCAACAGCTCAGAGCACTCAGCAGTAAGCACACTCACACAGTAGACAAAGAGCAAACTCCAAAGGCACAGTAAATGGGGAGTCTGAGGGACTGGTTTATTGTTTCTCAAACAACAGGTTTCATCCAGGACCCACGCTTCCCAGGCCTGGCACCCTGAGTGAGAAGGAAACAGCAAAAGATGTGCTGGTAGGGCCTGGGGAAAGCCAAGTTTCACACAGCATCTGCTGCAGGTAACAAGAAAGGGCTCTGTCAGAGGCAGTTGTGGCTTCTGTCACATTTAAGCCTCTCCTTTCAAACACCAGAATTGCTGTATATGAAGGAAGCACAGCTACACAACCACTTCCAAGCCCTCCCCTCCTGAAGTTTCTGCCCTCTGGCTCCTGTTTTTCCTCAAACAACTATTTGAAGTCACTGCTGCAAACTGCAGTCACTTAGTCACAGCTGAGCAACACTATTAGCACTGCGGATGCCCGCAGGCTACACAAAACTCTTCTCCTGAGATAGTGTGTGTGCCACATAAGCTTCACAGTTTCCACATCATCAAGTCAGCCCTGTGCCAGGCACTGCATGCACAAGCAACAATTCCTAGTCTGCAAGTCATAAGTAACTTCAGTGGTGAAAAACAGATATGTGGAAGGACAAGACTAGTTTTAGAGACCACACAGCCAAACTGTCAGTTGAGATTTAACTCCAATTAAACACTGGTTTAAAGCAAAGAACAAGGGATTATAGCAGTAAACGCTGGCACCCACAAGTGCCAACTACCAGTCAGATGGAAAGGAGGGCTTTTGCACCAGAGACCACATAAGCTTCCACAGATATCCTGTTTTAACCTAAATCTTTCACCCTAACTTACGGTTGCACACTTGTTCATTCATCTATGATAAGAAAATCTCACAATCTCAGGGATAAACTCTTCCAATGCAAATTTGGAAACATTAGTAAGAACATATCACTGTGTGATACCACTGCATTTTGCCAGGCACCAGAGGGCTTGCTGATCTGTAGACGTGTATGACTCAGATTTAACAGAATGACAGTATTCTCCCCTGGAACAGCACTGCTAAAATCAGGCAACACCAGCAGGGAGTTTCCAGTTCGATAAGGTTTATCTCTAGTGTAGCACTGAAGAGCCACTAAGGGACAGCAGCTGTCCCAGGAGAGTACACCAAACAGGTCCCCACAAAATAAAAATTCTACAGCTTATTTTTATAGAATTACTGCCTCCTCATTCCTTATAAATGCAAAGAATCAGTACTTACTGTCTCTCCCATGATCTGCATTTAGCAAGACAAATGGCAGTGATACATACCTACAGCATGCACTACAGAAATCAGAAATACTCATTTCTGTACACCTCTGCCATCGGTGAGGAAACTTCAAAAGAAATCTTAAGGCAGCTTCTCTGAGTTGTCACTAATTTCTATATATAAAAAAAAGCACCTCTTTCCATGTACTCCACCCCCTGGGTGTTGAAGAGCAACAACAAGTCATAGAGAAAAGGTCTGGGTTTGGATCATGCATAACCATTTTCCTTTTTCGCCCCCCTTCTCCTTCTTTGTGTGCAAAGAAGAAAAATTCTATCTCACAGACAGACTTCAAACACAGCAACCTCATATCCAATCACATTACTGAGCCTGAGAGCAGCAGCCAGCCAGCAATATTCAGCTCATCTTTAAGAGTGCAGCAAGTGACCCAGCAGTGGTTGCTAGGCACAGGGACTGATCTAGTCAGGGAGATGGACTGGAGTGGTCTGCATCCCAATCATACACTACAGGCTCAGGTTAACAGCTCTGCCTAGCATTGAGAATATATTACAGAGGCTCTCTGGTAGCACTAAAACTAGGAAAAATTCCTAAGAATTGTTGTTTCTTATATATAGCTTGCTTTGTGCCATCAAGTAGTAGGTTTTGCATCAAGTAGTAGGTTGGAGTCAAAGGCCATCTTAACCTCAGCTCTACCACTCAGACTTTTTCTCTGTGCTTGAATTCATTAAAAACACTAAGAAATTCTTTTGCCACCCCAGAGTGCCTGATGCAGACTCACACTTCCACATCATCCGATTCAATGTACCATTCTGTTTAAAAGAGATCCTCTCCAGAGTGAACAAAGGAAACATTAAGCAAGCCACAGTCATCCCACCACACACACAAGTAGTTCCCAGTCCCCAGAAGCAGATTGTCACCTGTCCCTTGGGAGTCCCTCTGGACATCAGTCCTGTACCTGGATATGGGATGGAGAGAAGCGTGAAATCAGCATAACGTTGAGCTTTGTCCACCTTCTCAGAAGACGTCACACTGCACAGGATGAGAGGAAAACAGCAGACATTTGTACTGTATTTTCCAAGGAGATGCAGCATCCAAAAGCTACCTGTTGCACTACCCCACATAATGACTCGACTCAGGAATCGTCAGGGGCAAAACTTATGCAACACATTCAGATCAATAGGTGTAGTCCCAAAACATTACAACTTTCTTTCAAGGGACACACCAGGAGAAACATCTCTACCTACTCTTATACACAAACAGAGCACTCCTTTAACTCTCCCCTTTCTGAGAAGGGGTGGTAAAATTACTTCAGGCTCTACAGAGAAAGCCTATTCAGACTGCAGAGGATGGGTTAAAATAGTTATTTTGCTCACTGATACAGTCTTCTCTGGAATAAAACCTTGGGCTTCTCTCTACAGCACTGACCAACAGATCCTACTGCACTGCCCTTCTGGTAGCAGTCAGCATCCTACTCCTAGGATGCTGAGTGCATGCCCCGTAACAATTCCCCAGTAAGGGCTGCTAGCTGCAACTCAAAGCCTGTAGAAAAACAAATGAATCCAGACTCACTTCAAGCCAAACTTCACCTTCTTGTTTTCCACCATCAGATCACAGATATATCGGACAGAGAGGTACCGAAGCAGCTTGATGTCGTGTCCTCTGACCTTGTCAAACAGCTGGGAGTCTGCATTTCTGTGAACAGAACAAGGCAAAGTGAGATCAGCAAGGAAGACTGACCACTGCCTGCATGATACTGCCATAGCTCTTCCCTGAACTGCTTCTAGCCAAAAAGGCCCACAGGAAAAGCCTCGTCTCCATGGGTAAGAGTCAGATTCTGCACTGAGCTGATACTGCAAAGTTAGTGCGTAGGGTCTCTTTCCTCATATCTTGCTTTGTTCTGCAACAAGCAAGTAAGATGCAGAATATTTTCTCCACCTTGGAGATCTAATTTTTATAGGGAAGTAAAAATTTCTGTGTAATTCAAGCTTCTTTCAAATGGCCCTATATCCTTCTGTCTCTGACTCTTCCCTCTGGCAGTAGATTAGCAAGTACCAGTTATACTGGATTCAGCCAGCCACTAGCATTCAAGGTTTTTTCAAAAGCAAGGAATGAACTCATGTCAGTGATGCATACAAACCTCAGTGCAGAATCTTCCTCTGAAATGTCTTCCGCATCTGCCCAAGCATCGTCAGAACCCCCTGCAAAGAAGGCATTAAGAAATGAGACTTGTGTAAACTGACACAATCTCCAATTCTACAGGCATATGATGTCTGAAAACATTATGGATTGGCACCATTTCTCCATGCTTCTCTCAACAATTCTCCACATTTCTCCCTCCTGAAGGGCACATTCTGTAACGTAGCCCATCCCTCCCTTATCCTTGCAAAAGACCTAAGTAGGTCAAACCCATGACTGACAGCTAGAAGGACACCCCTGATGGTGCCACACAGTTCTTTCCCAAAACCAAGCTCCAGAGCCTATACTACAGACACCCAACAGTCTCCTGAGGAGTTCTCCATAGCACCCAGTAGGAGGATTTGATTCCCAATGACTATCTAACAACAGCAAAGTCTTATTTATTCCCACTCTCAGCGCCTGGGAATCAGCACTCAGGAATCAGTACCCTGAATGCTTTGGGTTGCCTTACTTGCCTACTATGCTACTGCTCCTGCAATTCGCTCTTCAGCCTCAAGTTCTTCAGCTACTTCCTCTTGCACTATGAGTACAGCACTCTGTCCTGTGGTATGGTGTTTGGAAACAGATACCAGATTTCAGAGTTTCCCCTATCAGTTCAGGCCTGCCACAAGCAGGTCCATGATAGAGTTCTGCACCTGTCCTCCCAACCAGATTGGTCTTGTGCCCTGTTTCTCAGCACTGAGAAGCCTAATCAGGCAGCCAGTGTCACACAGCTCCTCACTCACCTGAGAAGATGTAGTTGTAACCGGTGCGCCCGTAGAGCTCTCCCCAGCCAGCCAGTGTTGCTGATCTGCAAATATGCTGGAGGAAGATTTCATTGTTAACCACGTGCACTCTAAGAGTTTCCCCCCACACCCACGTGCTGTTGCATTCCACAGACATGGCTGGTACCCACAGATCTGCCTCTCAGCAGTCTCCCCCACAGCCCTGATCCAGATCAAACACCCCAAACACATAAGACTCCTAGGTGTCTTTATCTGTAGCTTGATTTTCTGCCATTTTTTCCATCTCCACTTGCCAGTGCGCTAATACAGACAATTTCTGCTAAAATTAGCAACACCTATGGTCTGTTAATGCTCCTTGAACTTTACCTTCCACACTCCTGTGGATAAGATTGCAGCTGGTCCCACTACCACCCTGGGCAGTTCGCTCCTGCTGGAAAAGGTCAGCAGGTTCAGCCCACGATGGCTTCAGCAAAGCCAGATTAATGTTGTCATAGGTATGGTTTTGCTATTCATACAGAGTTTCTAAACTTAACTGAGAAAATTGAATTAAACTACTTAAATTCTAAACAAGACTACTCCTACAGGGCTTCAGAACAGTTTAAATAATCCACATAAAAACAAATCTGATTCCACTTCCTTACAGATCCCCTTGCAGGCAAGCCCACACATTCATAAGACCGTTTATGCAATCTTGCCTCCCCAGGGAACATTAAAGGGGAACTTCTCTTCAGGGATAAAAGTTATTCAAAGGGAGCTCACTGCTGGAAAGAGGAAGGGGCAGGAAGTGACAACAGCTGTCCTTCCCCTCTCAAAGGCCAAATAACTTTGGTCCTTCAGAAGGAACACATATATAGAAAAAACATGAGATCCTTGGTGCAGTGTTTGTGACCGGGTGGAGTATGACAGCCTCAAGTCCCCACATATGATTTATGCAGCCTAGACAGCAAATATTACTTACCACTAAGGCTGTCTGCCTGTAGCTAAGATTAGATTTTTACAGCATTAGGAAAGGTGACAACTGACTGAAGATGTGGCTGCATGGTTCAAATGGCACAGAGAAAGGTCATTTTCTAAGTTAGGACAGGTAACCCACGAAGCTTTACCTTTCCCTTGTACAGAATGACTGGGCAGACAAATCGTCCTCTACACCTCGCCATCTTACTTCGGTTGATGAGGTCCTGCAATTTGCCAACCTGCACGGTGCTCTCAAACCTATCGGACAGAGATGCAGTTCAGTACACAGAGCACCTTCCCATTTATCCTTCAATGAAGCAGCTGCAGGCCCCCTGGGTGGTGATCCCCATCCCTTTGGCTTAAAAGGCAGCTCTGAACTTAGCAAGCAAGAAGTTGTTTCTCTAGGAATGGTTTGCCCTGCTAGACAACACGACTGAATTTTGCAAGCCACAATAAATAAAACGGAGAATCAAAGTTTGAGCACTCAATGAACTGGAGTAGTTGTAGTCACCTGAGCACGTGCACTGCTGGGTGATTAGACAACGGGCTGTAAACCGGCCAGCGGGTTGCGTAGGGCAGTTAGATTAATGTCAGCTGCAACTGAACCACTAAATTCTATTTGGTTTTTTTTCTGGTTAAAGTAAAACAGAAATGTGTTCTGAGTTGGAGACATATTTTGGAAGCAAGTTTAAATTGTGATAATTTTTCCAAGTATCAGTCTAAATTTGACAGGAATTCAAACTGCCCTTTGAATGACACAGACCTTCCAGAGGTAAGGTCAATGCAGGGGGAACTAGAGTTTCCACAAGGAATTGGAGAAGCATCCAGACTGACATTACAGAAACCAGATGAAGTCCAGTGACACAGAACTGCCTGATCATGCACTCAGAGAAGAGAAGAGGAACAAGAATTTCCAGTTAGCCCTGTCCAGCAGCAAAGCTCAGCAGATGAACTCACTGACCTGTGGATACCTTTAAGTTATCAATATAGCAAGTCTTACCAAAAAGACAACAACGACCGTGGGAAATTCTCCATGGGATGGAGAAGTATCAGCACTGCTGTGCAGAGCAGATGTTGGGTGAGATGAGCATCTGATTCCAGCCATCTGCAGCCACGAGGTGCACATGTGTGCAGCGAGGCACAGCAAACTCACAGGGATGGCCAGGGACAGCATTGCAACAAAACTGAGTGACTGAGCAAATGGAGATTAAGAGAGGGCACAACAATATGTGCATTTGGGTGAGTAAAAGAACTTAGCAACAGAGAAGGAGAAGAACCAAAAGGTGACTAATAAAAAGAAAGAAGAAATTAATACCATACTCTAGAAATTAAAATAAAGTTTCTAGGCTTTGGAACCAGCATGAGTGTAAAGCAATCCACCTGCAGCAGGCATTCAGGCAAGGATTAGAAAAAATAAATTACTATTAACATGGAAGTCAATCCATTTATAGGAGACAACACAAAGTACTGCTGGGGGAAGCAAGGCGGCAGCAAGCAAAACCCTCCAGTCCTACAGTTTTATAAGAACTTAATTCCCAGAATCCACAGTGGAAGCTCAGGATTTCTCATGTGTTTCCCTACATAAAAGGGCTTCTTCCAGCTCCGACAAGCGTTAACATTTACTGGAATGTAAAGAGCATGAAGCCAAGCCAATCTTTAAACAGCACGGACAGGAGAGCGCTAAATGCCAGCGCAGCACACTGCACACAGAGCACATGTGCTTGTGTGCAGGCAACACGAACACGTGCCCAGTGAGCACAGCCCGAACTGCTTGCTGCTGGCACTGCAGGCAGCCAGGAGCTGCTCCCCTCCTAGCACGCCCTCCTCAGAGAGCACGGAGTAACACACAGCAACAGGCGGCGAGCAGCTTGAGGTGGCTTCACGTGTCATTCACAGTCCCTATCTATTTTGAACCTTTAAGAGGTTCTGATGTACAGATCTGCGTTTTGAGGTTGTTTTTAAGTGAATGAACGCAACCAAAAGGCATCCTGCGTTCTGCTCCAGCTGTCTTTGTTTCCTTGGTAAAAGGAAATACAGAAGGAAAACAGAACGTTATTACAGTGTTAACAGCTCTATAGCATGGCTTCTAAATCTAAAAAGATGGGATCCAGCAAAAATCCAATGCTTGGAGCTCAGACAGGCCAAGAGGCTTCAGCACTCTGCACACTAACTGCATCTCCCAGGAGAGGCAAACAGCAGCAAGGAATGAGTGTCAGCAGGACAGGACACAGGGTCAGCAGTGGAGATGCTGCAGGGAGGGGAAAGATCTGCCCTGATGAACAGCTGCAATGCTCTTACAGGGACAAGGGGCAAAAAGTTGCACAGGTAGGAGTAACGTCTACTTTGGAAATCAGAGCTGACTTCAACAGCCATCTGAAAGAACATCATTACGGCTTCCTGGCCAAGTGAAGGCAAGGGTGGGAGGAATGCAGTGAATCTTAACTCATAGCTCCTGGGATTTTCAGGTATTGCTTCCTCAGAAGTTGGTTTTCTAGAGGATACTAGCCGGCAACCTTGTCTCTGTGTTACCTTTGTGTTAATTCTTACCCTCCAAATCAGACTTCCAAGCCTGAGTTTCTTTTTTAAATGCAAAGGAAGCATTTTCTAGGAGTAAGCAACTGTTTTGGTAACAGTATATCTATACAAGTCCAAAGCAGAACTGTTTCTCAATGGCTAGCAACAGTAGCATTGGAACTTAAGTGTTTATTCACAGTGTTAGAACTATTGTTTGGAGTGCAGACATGCACACGAACTGGCAGGGAAGCCGAAGATGCAGCCTGTGTCTGATCTCTGGAAGTTGTCATGTAAGCACAGGCACAAAGAACAGGACAGGAAACAAAAAACTGAGCACATCTCAATGTTTTCCAAGCCTTTGCAGTGCCTGCCCACTCCTGCTGGGGGGGGCATTAGAGGTCTCTGACCACAGAGCAGGTGCTCCTGGCTGTCAGACACCCTCTGCTACTTCGTGCAGCTGACTGAGCAGCACCACAACAAAGGGCTATTACCACTATGGTGGTTGGTAGCAAAAAACACAAGCCGTATTCTTCCCACGCTTTCACTACCTCCTCCACCAGCCCAGCCCGGATCTCACCTTGGTTAGCCAAGCAAGACCCTCGCATCCCCCAGCTGCCTGAACAGGATCAGAAACTGGTCTGGGTTTAAAACTAGTTCTCCACATGGCTTCAGAAACAGCTGCACCTGCACAACTTGTGGGGCAGCAGAGTTTGCACAGCCTAGAATTGCTTCCAAAAAATGTGGCATTCTCAGAAGTGTGAAGTGTCTTGCACACTTCAAGGAGATCTTACCAGCTGAACAAGAACATTACAAAGGTGAAAGGCAGCCCCAGACACTAGGTCCTAGAGGGATTGTTCCATTCACTGGAAGAGGTTTCTTGCGTTCTGTAACACAAGAAGTGCAACATTCTCTATATTGTTAACATTTGCTCAGTATTTCATCATTGTTTCATAGAATATAATGGTGCAACAAAAAACTGTATTCGTGGAAAAGTTATTTAGAAGCTTTTACAGAGGTTATTGCCCAGAAACCCAGAAGGAAAGGCATGATGAAGGGCAGTCTATTCCCATGACTTCTTGTAAGAATAAATCTGGGCTTGAAAGCAATCAGTATTTTAAGTGTTAGTGGCCACTCATGACTTGCAAAGGCAGAGAAGAAAATAGGAAAACACTCTCGTTTCAAAAAAACGACAGAAAAATTCAATATCCTTCATTGTCCTGGACAGAAAAAAACAGAAGCAGCTTCCTTCTCTCCCCTAAAGATGCTGCTAGTTATGTCTATAGCTCCAGATTTCAGTTTCCCTCTTCTCTGCAGCCTACATCAAGGGGTTTAATCTTTTCCAATCCGGTCCAACCTTTAAACAGAAACTCCCAGCCAACATCAGCAGTGCTGTTTCCAAGCCCCCCTCCAGCACCTACTGGTTTTGTTCAGCAGCCAACACAGCACAAAGCACGTCACTACTGCTGCCCTTCTGAACACATCTTGTCCTGATCAGACTTAAAGCTGCAAAACTGTGTTACGTTCTGTGAGAAGAGATTAAAATCTAAAAAAGAGGCTGTTGTTACAGCCACAGGGAACAGATATCGCTCAGCCTGAAGTGGAAGCATTTCTGAGCTTGCGGGTCAAAGTCCAGAAACACACCAGCTAACTTGGACTGCACTAAGCTGGGAGCGTCTCCCATCGGGTTACTGATCAGGAATGCCCTCAGATCCGTGCTGTGGGCACCCACCTGCTGACACTGCCTCGCTCTGCACTGCCCCTATGGGGGTTCTCACCCGAGGTGCTTTTCAGACTACGATTCCTCTAACTTCAGCCCTCCGAGAAGACGCAGCAAGCACCCCGCAGCCACGCTGCTGAGCGTGAGCTCCTCACACCTCTGGGAAAATGGAAACACCACCACCATCGGGAGCGAGCGCGGTGCTCAGAGCCACAAGGCTACGGCTCCCCGAGGGAGGCAGAGAGCGCGGAGAGGCACACGAAGCGACTGACGGGGCGGCTATAATTAGCCGCAGCCCCGAAGAGTCCGGGAGGCGGCCTGGGAGCTCCTCGGGGCACGGAGCGAAGCGGGGCGGAGGTCGGGGCCTTACGGGTCGCGGCCGGCGGCGTTGTCGCGCTCCAGTAGGACGATGTGCCGCGGGTAGTGCGCGCAGACCTCGCCGTGGGCGTTGGAGATCACGCTGTAGCGGTAGTCGCGGCCGAAGAGCTCCAGGCAGCGTCGCTCGATCCGCTCCACCTGCGCGCAGCCACCGCTCAGCGCCCGCCGCTCAGGCACCGGGCGCCGAGCCCCCCGCGCGGCCCCCCGGCGCTCCTCACCTTGGCGGCGGCGGCGCCCCCGCCATCCTTAGCGCGGTACTGGGCGCGGGAGAACTCCAGCAGCAGCTCGGCCAGGCCGCGGTCCCCGGAGCCCGCCGGGGGGCAGCCGCGGGCCGCCGCCATCCCCGCGCCGCTCACGGCCGCCACCCCATGGCGCCGCTTCCGCCCGCCGCCGCTTCCGCCCGCCCCGCGGTGCGAGCCGGCCAATCGGCGCGGGGCGTCGCCACGCCCCTTCCGGCCAGGCGCCGTCGTCATCACCGCGCGACGCGGGCGGGGCGATGGGAGCTGCGCTCCGGCGCGGATGGAGCCCGTGGCTCACGTGAGGCTCCTGAGCAAGCGGCGGCGCGGGGAGCCTTTCGGTGGCTCCGTACCCGCTGCTCGGGCGCTGGACGGCCCTGCCGGGAGCTGGACCGCCGCGGTCCCGCAGCCACCCGCTCCTGCCCCGTGGCCCCAGTCAGGCACGCGCACATCGGGATAGGGGCCGGGCGCCGCCCCGCGTCCCTCGCTGCGCGGTGACCCCTCCTGCGCTGCGCGGTCGAGCCGCGCCTCGCTCGGGCTCCTCGGCCCCGCCGATCGCAGCCGATCCGTTCCGAACCTTCCCGAACCGCTCCGAACAGTTCCGAGCCGCGCCGGGCGGGGGCGGGGCGTGGCCGAGCGCCTTTCCGAGCGCGGCTGAAGCCGGGGCGGGCGGAGCCGAAGCTCATCTCGGCGTCCCGCTGCCGGGGGCGCGCGGCGGGTCGGGCTGGGCCGGGCTCCGCAGTGGCGGGGCGCGCGCACGCGGCGACGTCGGGAGCGCGCGCGCGGGGCGCAGAGGCGGCAGCCAAGATGGCGGCGCGGGTGGCGCAGGGGCCGGCAGCCCTCGGGCTCCCTTAGGCCGCGGGTGGTGGCCGGCGCCGGGCGGGGCGGCCCGATCCGCCAGGATGCTGCCGTCGCAGGAGGCCTCCAAGCTGTACCATGACAACTACGTGCGGAACTCGCGGGCGATCGGCGTGCTGTGGGCCATCTTCACCATCTGCTTCGCCATCATCAACGTGGTGGTGTTCATCCAGCCCTACTGGGTGGGAGACAGCGTCAACACGCCCAAACCCGGCTACTTCGGGCTGTTCCACTACTGCGTGGGCAGCGGGCTGGCGGGCCGCGAGCTGGCGTGCCGCGGCTCCTTCACCGACTTCAGCACCATCCCCTCGGGCGCCTTCCAGGCGGCGGCCTTCTTCGTGCTGCTGTCCATGGTGCTGACGCTGGGCTGCATCACCTGCTTCGCGCTCTTCTTCTTCTGCAACACCGCCACCGTCTACAAGATCTGCGCCTGGATGCAGCTGCTGGCAGGTGGGGGGCGGGGGGCTGGGGGTGGGGAGGTGTCAGGGCGCTGGCACCGGAGCTGCGGAGTCTCCTAGGCACGGGGTGCTGGTGTAGGGGTTGTCGGGGTGCTGGCAGCAGAGCTAAGGGGTCATCCAGGCACTGGTTCCAGAGCTTGAGTGAGACACTGGGTACCGGTGTAGGGGTTGTCGGGGCACTGGCACTAGAGTTAGAGCATCTCCTAGACGCTGGCTGCTGGTGCTTGTGTTTGTAGGATAGTGCATGCTGGTGGTGGGGCTTTCCAATGCACTGGCACCAGTGTTGGACACTGCCCCCCATATGCATGCTGGTGTTGGGGATTCTTTGGATACTGAGTGCTTGGGTTTGGAGTGTTTCAAGTACTGGGTGCTGGAGGTTCTCCATGTGATGGGTGATGGGGCTGGGAGGTTATCAAGGCATTGACATCAGTGTTAGGGGCTTCCCCATGCACTGCCTGCTGGTGTGAGGGGTGGCCAAGGCACTGGCATCAAAGCTAGGGGGTCCCCTGGGCACTGGTGCTTGGGTTTCTTTGGATACTGAGTGTTGGGACTTCTGCAGGCACTGGGTGTTGGAATTGCTTTGGATACTAGATGCTGGTGTTGAGGGTCATCAGTGTATTGACACCAGTGCTAGGGGCTTCCCTAAGTGCTAGGGGGATGGCTTTCGAGACTGCCCTGTGTGGTGCATGCCTGTGCTAGGGCTTCTTTGAATTCTAGGTGCTGGGGTTCTCCATGCATTGAGTGCTGGTGTTTGGAGTGCTTTGGGTACTTGGTGCTAGATGCTAGGGTTTCCCTTTGCACTGGGTGCTGGTGTTAGGGGTTATCAGGGTGTTGACACCAAAGTAGCCTGTCCATTATGTACTGGGTGCTGGTGGTGAGGGTTCTGTGGATACTGGGTGCTAGCATTGGGGATTATCAATGCACTGCACCAGAGTTGGATGTTGCCCCAAATGCTAGGGGTTGGCACTGGGCACTGCCTTGTCTGGTGCATGCTGATGCCAGAGCTGCTTTAGGTATTGGGGCTTCTGCATACACTGGGTGCTCGTGTTTGGAGTATTTTGGATGCTGGGTGCTAGGACTTTCCTGGCACTGGGAGCTGGTGTTAAGGCCACTGGCACCGGAGCTGGGGGCTCCTCTGTACTCAGGGTGCTGGCACTGGGAGTTCTCAAGCTGTCAGCACCAGGATTTCTACCAGATGCTGGAGCCAGAGACTGACTTGGACACTGGGGGCTTCCCTAGATGCCCAAGGGGCTCCCTGGGGCACTGGGCAGCAAAAGGCAGGGCTTCTCAGAACCCCAGCCTCACTGGGTATGAGATGCAGGCAGCGGCACAGGTGCTGGGTGGTGGCTTTGGGTGTGTGGGGCCAAATGGGACATCAGCACCAGGTGTGGGGATGAAGGCATTATAAAAGGTGCTGTCCTGTCCCTTGCCTCAGCATCATGAAGTGGTCAGAAATGCTGACTTTTCCCTTTCCATAAAAAGGCTTTGAGAACAGCTCTACGTACAGTGGGGTATTGCATTTACTTTGATTTAGATTGGATGTAAGAAAAAAGTTTTTTACAGTAAGTGTGGTGAGGCACTGGCACAAGGTGCCCAGAGGGTTGGTGGTGCCCCATCCCTGGAGACAGCCAAAGTCAGGCTGGATGGGCTCTGAGCACCTGATGGAGCTGTGGGTGTCCCTGTTCATTGCAGGTGGGCTGGACCAGATGGCCTTTAGGGGTACCTTCCGACTCAAAGGATTCTAATATTCTCCCTAAAAGTGGCCCTGTCCTAAGGTCCTCCTTAGCCCCCTCCACAAAAAAAAGGAACTCCAGATACCATAGATGAAGCTCAACACCCCCCCATGCACAGAACCCAAACTTTTCCCGAAATGAGACAGGACATTGACAAGGATCCCCCAAGCTCTCCTCTTAGAGGCTCACTCCTTTTAGGACAGACCATGAAAAGTGATGCTGAGCCTGTAACTCTTCCTCTCTCTGCTTTTCCCACATCTGGAACACCATTTCCATACTGCCTCCTGCACACTAAGTGAGCATGTCCTGATTCAGAGCTTGCACCAGCAGAACCCAGTGCTGTCTCCATTACCAATAGAAGACCCCCAATGTGATCCCCTCTAGGAGAGGGCCTTGTGGAGTCTGTCCTCATACTGGGAGCTCACAGCTGGCCCGGCTTGTGGAGATCCTGACCTCTCCTCCCCCAGTGCAGCTCAGCCCGGAGCTGCCTTGGCTTATTGGGAAATTCCTTCATCTTTAATTTTCCCTGTCCCGAAGATTTACTGGTTTAAGGCAAGCTCAGAGCCCAAATCCTGCCGATCAGCAGCAGCAGCTTAATCAAGGGGCTCTGCACACCCAGCTGCTGTGTGGCGATGGGCACAACCGTGAAGGCAGTCTGGGATGTGGGCAGGGGAATGCAGAAGCAGCAGCGAGGCCCCTGGTTTCACAGCAGATGTGTAAAGGAGGGGATGGGATGGCCAAGTGCTGGCACAGGGCTGCTGCAGGAGTGTGTGGCTCCTCTGAGATGGGACAACAGGGAGGGGGGCTGGAGTTCAGCATCTCGTCCAGAAAAAAAAAGTGTTTAGATCTTCAGCGTCCAATTAGTGGACAGCAATCAGGGAAAGGTTTAATTAGAGCCTCACAGAAAGCCCCAGCTCAAAAGCCGCTGCCCCCCTAGGAGTAAACCGAATCTAATTAAGAGGAAAGACTGCTTTAGCGCAAATAGAAACGCAGCCATCTGCCCTGTTCAAAATCCCAGCAACGCAAAACTGGAGATTTTGCTAAATCCTTCTGTTACAAAACCCAGAACGTGATTGAACGTGGGGACGTCACTGGTGTCCTGGTGGGACGGGCACACAAGGATCACCGTGCCCGTGGTGTCCCCACATGCCACACAATTGGGTGCCAGGGGAGGGCACAGAGCTGCCACCCAAAGCAGCGCATGGGATGGAGAAGCCTCTGCCCCCAAGCAGTTCCCCTGAGGCTTTCCCTCTCCCTTCTCTCCCAACCCTATCCTGCAACAGGGATGGCACAGCCCTCGCACTGTGCAGCCCCAGGCTCCAAAGCCCTCCATGGGCAGTGCCAGGCACGTGGGCACTGCTCTCGCCCCGCAGCCCTTCCCTGTGCTCCAAGACAAAGCAGCTGTCAGCTCTGCTTCGTGCCGATGTGTAGCCCTATTCTTGAGCCTGCTGCTCTGTTGCTCAGCCCGTGGAGTGCAGTGCCGTGAGGCACTCCTGCCTGTGCCACCGCTCATTTCCATTGATTTCCGTGGGATTGCTATTTTTAGGACAGGGCTGTGCACTCACTCTCCTTCTGCTATTCATTTCTGGCAAGAAGCAGCCACCCCAGCCCCCAGCGTCCCCACTGTCCCTGCTGGGGCTCCCCAATGTGGTGGTGAGGCCAGGAAGAGACACTGAGGC